CTCAGCATGCTCCAGGGGTGGGCCAGCACTGCAGGCCCCAGAATTAAACCCCCAGCCCCTGTGCCTGCTTGCAGGTGCTTTAATCCACTGAGCTATTTGGCCAGCTTGGAAATTATTTTTGATCTGATTTCCCCTATACCTTTCTGCAGTTGTTTCTTTACTTCAGACACTATTATTTCAGAGATTTCAGGTGTGTGATCTCCCATTTTTCTATGCTATTGTCTCCTGCATTTGTTCTGGGTGGGCTCTTGGCCTGAGAATACAGTTTGCTCCTTCTCTTCATCATTTTGTATAGCACTGTCTTCTGACCTTTGGTGTAGAGCTTTGGTGCAGTTATTACCTTAGCACCAGGTCCAGATCTACCAAGTTCAAACTTGTCCAGGTGGGTGTGACTTGGCAGTGGCTTCTGTGCTCCACTTTTTCCTGCTGCAGGCCTTGGAAGTGAACCCGCTGTGCCACTCTGGCAAGATGTTCTGCTCCTGGATCAGCTGGGTGGGTCTTGCCTCTAGCTTCTCTGCAGGGAGTTCTGCTGCAGGGTTCTACACTGGGCCTGTCTGATGGAAGAAGTTCCACACACATGCTTGGCCTGGGTGCTGGCTGGAGTGAGGATGGGGGGGGCAGGTGATACCCCACACATGCCAGGGCTGGAAGTTGGCTCAAATGAGAATCTGGAGGGCTAGTGGGCAGTCCCATACACACAATGGGCCTGGGAGCTGGCTGGAATGAGGATGTGGTGGGCCCTGGGCTGCCCCACTCACACGCCAGGCCTAGGTGCTTACTAGAATCAAGAATTCATCTTAAAGTACAACTGAATTGAAAGCAGGTCCTGCCATGCCAGCCCCACCCCCAAGGTGCTTTTGACTCATAATTTTAGTTTTTGATATAAAATATAAGCTCAACTTTAGGTAATTTGTCAGACCTTAATGTCACTGCTAAAATTGCCTAGCAACCAATAAATGAGCTTCCATCAACTTGGCAACCGATCTTAAGGATTTAGAAGTAACCACTTGGTTCTTTTATGTTTGAATGGTATTTTGAGTCAGATTTTTCAACCTTATGATTTTCAGGTAGGAAAATGCATTTTTCCAAAGTAGCCAGATATTGATTTACTGATGTTAGAAATTTGGTTTTCTTACTGTAATGTATTCTGCTAAGTGCTGCTTATTTTTGTTGTCTGTATAGTATTACACAGAGAGAATTACCCAGCTGGCCCAGAGTAAATATTTACACATGTGTAGGTGGAAGAGGTTTTGCCAGCACAGTACAACCATGGAACATCTTTATCCTCTTTATAAGGTAAGAAGCTCCGACGCAGGACCTGTAGCATATTTTTTACAATGAAACAAAATGGTCCCTAAGCTTCTCAATTTTTTTCAAAAATCAGGCATTGGGGAGCAAACCTGTAACCCCAGCAGTTGGGAGCCTGAGGCATGAGGATTACTGTGAGTTTAAGGCCAGCCTTGGCTAGATAAGCAAGTTCAAGGCCAGCCTGAACTCCACAGTGAGACCCGGTCTCCAAAAAGAAAAAAAAAGAAGGGCCTAATGAGGGTAACTTCTTGCTTTTTTGGCAGAAGATAATGGTTCCTATTTTTAAGAATGAAATTCTAAGACCATTTTATACAATAGTATAGATACAGTATAAATAGCCTTGAACTTCTTTTCTCCATGTAGAAAGCACAGGTGCTGAGTGTGATTCCTACACATCCTCATACACTGACTGTTCAGAATTTTTCTCTTTCAAAGTCCTAAAAGTCTGACACTGCCCTTGTCAGTCTGAGGTTCTGAGAGCCCTTCTTGACCCCCAAAGAGCATTATCCTAAGTTTGGTAGCAAAAATACAAGGAATAGGCTCACGCAGAGCCTCTTCAATCTTTCTACGTCTCATAAACAGAAACAAGTGGCCTACATTATGCGGGAGTATAATGATGCTGTTCAGAGAGCTGAAAGACTGTCTGTTGCTCGAGAAAACTTCCTTATGGGAAAAAACAATCCTCCTAACCTGGTGACACAAGAAGATCTGACGATTTACACGAAGTGGCTAGTGTGTCACTTACACTCCCTCAGGACCATTCATCACTACCTGCAGGTATGTGACAGCTGTGTGATGATGGGGCCCCTCCCAAAAATGGTTGGTGGGTTATCTCACAAGGTCACCTAGTTTTGGATGGTCAAAGGTTATGTCTTCCATCTGCCTTGGAGAAATGACAGGAGTCACTGGATTTTCTTTTTTCTCTTTAACCTTGCTCTACCGAAGTTACTCCATTAATGTGGCTTTCTCCAAGGTATCTGTGCTGTACTATTTCATATTCTCTTTGTAAGTTCTTGTCTTCACCATCTTGTTCAAGAGTTTCACACCTCAACTTAGATACACTTTTTCATTCTGTGATATTTAAGGAGGGCCTATTATGTGCCAGGTGCTTATCTCTGGACAAAATTGCATCCTGAGAATAAGATGGGCAGTTCATTTTTCAACTGAAATACAGTGGAATAAGAAAAAGTAGACCAGACATAGTTCAGGGGAAAGAGAGGGCTACTTGCATCACAAGGAATCTCATAGTCAGATTTCCATTTTAGAAAGACTGAGCAGATTCCTGAGGAGGCTCTGCCTCCGCTTCTCTTCCTTATCAAAGCAAAGGGCTATGCCTGAGTTTAAGTTTGGAAGCATCTGTGAGAATTAGGTTGACATGTGGCCCTTGGCTTGCCTGTCCATAGGCCCTCCAGTATCTGCCAATCTCCAAAGCGCTGAATCTAGATGACAACCAAGTCCCTGAGGCTAGTCAGGAAAAGGAAAAGGTCTACATCAGTGACACGGACCCTGACATCCGGGCTGCCTCTCCTGGCTCTACGGATACCAGCATTTCAGGTGAAAAATGAGTTTTCTTTCCCTTGTGGTAATATAGAGAAAAGAAGATTGTGTTATTTTAACCCAGGATCTTGCTAAAATTTTTAATGTACCAAAGAACTACATCTTTTAAATAATTGTTATGCACCAGAAAGCTACATATTTTTAATTTAATATTTGATGGTAAAACACATCACTCACTTCCCTTAGATATTTCTATCTTGTTATTTTCTAAAAAATTAATACAGAGCAAAAAATGGTCTTTAATCCCAGAGCCCTGGGTTCTAAGTCTGTTCCTATCATGGCCTCATTTGACCCCGCATCACATCTCCTTGAGCCCCAGTCTACATATATCATGATAACCCTGTCAGGTTCAGTGATTTCTAAGGTTCCTTCAAGTTTTAATGTTATACAGTTCTAAAAGAATTTCCTTACTGGAATCGATTTAGTACTGTCTTCCTGTCCTTGTGCTGTGGATGATAAAAAAAACTTCAATGGAGGCTGGGGAGATAGCTCAGTGGCTTAAATGCCCATCTGGTAAGCACAAGATCCTGACTTCAATTCCTGGTGCAAAGAAAGAAGAAACACTTGATCAGGTTTCTAATTTGAATAGCGTTCTTGCTCAGGGTATATAAACAGGGTCACAGGAATGCCTGAGAGAGGTGACCAACCCCCACTGTAAGGACCCAGGGATGCTTCCCAAAGGAAGGGAGTCCAAACTGGATCCTTAGAGTTCAATGGGAGCTAACCAAGTGATAGTGCTCACCTTTAAAATTGTTGGTTGATTTAGAAATGATATAATTCATTTATTATGAAGGTTTATAGCTAGGTCTACTCTCACTAACTCATCCTGACAAATGCTATCAGGTTTCTCCTGAGAAGCCCTTGCCACCTCCTGAAGAAACCGAGCTCCAAAGACCTGTCGGGTACACCTAAAATAACACAGTGCAAATGATAAATTATGGCAGGGAAGGCTGGGCAAAGGGTAGCAGAGCCCTCCCAGCACCAGAGGAAGGCCTGCCTCCCGTTATCTCAAAGGTCCTCCTGCCTTCCCTCTGCATCACTAATGTCCACTGGTCTTCATGCTATTGACTCCGGATTTTTTCAGGGCCAGTGGACACAGATTCTGCTTTCATCCTGCCTCGACATGTAACAGAAGCAGAAAAACTAAAACCTCAGCTGAAGCACCTACTTTCCCACTTTCAAATCCGATACGACGTGCGGGAGCTCAGGGACTCTGTGAAGGAAATGGAACTTTTTTCACTGGTACTTGATGC